CCTGGTCGGTAAAGGACACGCCCACCCGCCGCCCGCAGCCAATGGCGGCCGCCCTGGCCCCCCGGCCACGCCCTCTGGCCACGCCCACTCGCGGGGTGGGGGAGGGAAGGCACGCCCCCTCGGAAAGCCACGCCCCCTATGGGGAAAGCCACGCCCCCTCTGAAAAGTCACGCCCCCTCGGAAAGCCACGCCCATACTATGGAAAGCCACGCCCCCTTAGAAAAACCACGCCCCCTCTGGTAAGCCACGCCCCCGCTAGTGAAAACCACGCCCCCGGTAGGAAAAGCCACGCCCGCTCAGAAGCCACGCCCCCTCCGATAAGTCACACCCGCTCTGAGAGGCCACGCCCCACGGAAGCCACGCCCCCTATGGGGAAAGCCACGCCCCCTCTGATACGACACGCCCCCCGCTATGGAAAGCCACGCCCCCTCATAAAAGCCGCGCCCCCTCGGAAGCCACGCCCACGCTAGGGAAAGCCACGCCCCCTCTGATAAGCCACGCCCCTCCCATCTGGCCGGTAAAGGACACGCCCATCCGCCACCCACAGCCAATGGCGGCCGCCCTGGCCCCCCGGCCACGCCCTCTGGCCACGCCCACTCGCGGGGTGGGGGAGGGAAGGCACGCCCCCGCTAGGGGAAGCCACGCCCCCTATGGGGAAAGCCACGCCCCCTATGGGGAAAGCCACGCACCCTCAGAAGCCACGCCCCCTCCGATAAGTCACGCCCCCTCTGATAGGCCACGCCCCACGGAAGCCACGCCCCCACTAGGTGAAAGCCACGCCCCTTAGATAAGCCACGCCCCTCCCACCTGGTCGGCAAAGGACACGTCCAACCCACAAAGCCACGCCCCCTCTGGGGAAAGCCACGCCCCTCTGGAAAGCCACGCCCTCCCATCTCGTTGGTGAAGGACACGCTCACCCCCGCAAACCACGCCCCCTATCGTCAAATGACACGCCCATACCAAAAAGCCTCTCCCACAATTAGTAAAGGTCACGCCCACCCCGCAAAGCCACACCCCTTTCCACTTGTTATGTAAATGACACGCCCACCCGCAAAAGCCACGCCCCCCTCGGCAAAGGACACGCCCTCTCGGGAATCCGCGCCCCAAATGGGTCAGGGGGACACGCCCACCAGACAAGGCCACGCCCCCAATGGCTCATGGGGCCACGCCCACCCGCGAAGCCACGCCCGCCATCTGCTCACGAAGCCACGCCCACTCGCGGCAGCACGGCTGGAGTGGGGGGAAGCCACGCCCACTCGGAAAGCCACGCCCACCATCGTCAGAGGACACGCCCCCATGGTCACCAAGCCACGCCCACTCGCGGAAGCACGGCTGGGGTGGGATGGGAAGCCACGCCCACCCCAAAGCCACGCCCACCATTAGCAGAGGACACGCCCATCGGCGGAGCCACGCCCACAACGAGAGTTAAGCCACGCCCACCCCTCAAAAAGCCACGCCCACAATGAGAATTTGAAGCCACGTCCGCCCTCAAAAGCCACGCCCACAAATAAAAGGCACGCCCCTGATTGGCTAATAGCACCCCCGACTGGGCTAAGCCACGCCCACCCCACGAAGCCACGCCCCCTGATTTAAGCTCCGCCCATCAAAGCATCATTAGCATACAATGGCAGGCCACGCCCACAGCCACGCCCTGCAAACCACGCCCGCTTTCAGGCCACGCCCCCTTTAAGGCCACGCCCACAGCTTTTGGGCCACGCCCTCATTTCCATGGAAAAATTTGGGAGGGGCTGGGGGCGGGGCTAGCTGCACCCTCATGAATATTAATGAGCTGTTGGTCTCGATTTGCCCTTTTAATCAAGACGCAGTTGCAGACAGCGGGTCAATTATGAGTATTAATTAGCGAGCGATTTCTAATTGCCACAGGTTCACGAATAGCCATTAGCAGATTGTCTAATTACCACCTCATTAATATTAGCGACAGCAATGACCGATGGTCAATTATAATGAATATTAATGAGACACAGCTCATTAGAAGGCTAATTAACGAGGCCTACTCCATTGTACTGCACCCGGCGGCCTCTGCTTCATGAATATTAATGATTGGCCACAATCATTGCCCTCCCTCTGTGAATATTAATGAGCCTGCCCCTCATTAACATTAATTGGCAACACTCAGCCCCGCGCTGCTGGTACGTCATCCATCATACCCCTCATTAATATTCATAACTTGTTTTCAATTAGCGCTGCCCGATATAAAGGCGGGGAGGCCTGCGTGGGCCCCACCCCCTCATTAATATTAATGAGGGAGCCCAGCGCAGCCAGCGGCGTGGGCGTGGCCAAACAAAGGGGCGTGGCCAGAGAAGGGGCGTGGCACACCAATATGAATAATGATGGGCGTGGCTTCGGAAAGGGGCGTGGCTTGAGGAGGGGGCGTGGTCTGACAGGGGGCGTGGCCTCCTTGGCGCCATCTTGCGGCGCGACGCCGCCATCTTGCGCATGCGCGGCTCTGCCGCCGCCTCCGGCCGCCAGGGGGCGCTCCCGGCCGGAACGTCCCGAAAATACCAAAAACCACCAAAAACATCCCAAAAACGCCACAGAAACACCCCAAAACCAGCCAAAACCGCCCAAAACCCACCCCAAAACCGCCCCAAAACCAGCCCAAAATCACCCCAAAAATCACCCCCAAAATACCCCAAAATCACCCCAAAAATCAACCCAAAAGCACCCTAAAATCATCCCAAGCTCACCCCAAAATCACCCCGAACTCACCCCAAACTCACCCAAAAAATCACCCCAAAAACACCCTAAAAACACACAAACTCACCCCAAAAACACCCCCAAAACCACCCAAAAAACACCCCAAAAACACCTCTGGGAGCGGCTTCGGAACCCAGGGGAGACACCCCCAAATCCCCTCTGCGGGACCCCCAAAAACTCCCTAAAAACACCCAAAATCACCCCGAAAAACACCCTAAAATAATCCCAAAGGCGCCCCAAAAAGCACCCAAAAAATCACCCCAAAACCAGCCCCAAAAACACCCAAACTCACCCTAAAAACACCCCCAGAAACACTCCAAAACACCCCAAAATCACCCTAAAACCATCCCAAAAATCACCCCAGAAACACCTCTGGGACCCCCATTGGAGCCCAGGTGAGACACCCCCAAATCCCCCCCTCGGGACCCCCAAAATCACCCCAAACAACCCCAAAAAATCACCCCAAAACCAGCCCAAAAAAACCACCCAAAACCACACCAAAACACCCCCAAAACCACCCCAAAAAACCCCAAAAGCACTTCCGGGACCCCCTTTGGAACTCAGGTGAGACCCCCCCAAATCCCCTCCGCGAGACCCCCAAAAACACCCCCAAAAACCAACCAAATCCACCCAAAAAACACCCCAAAAACACCCCAAAAAACCCCAAAAACACCCCAAAATCACCCCAAAACCCACTCCATAGACACCCCATAAACACCCCAAAATGACCCCCAAAAACACCCCAGAAACAACCCCAAAAATCACTGAAAAATACCAGAAAACCACCCCAAAACCAGCCCAAAAACAGCCCAAAAATACCCCCCCAAAACAGCCCAAAATCACGCAAAAACACCCCAAAAATCTCCCCCAGGACCCCTCAAAATCTCCCCAAAAATCTCCCCCAAATCCCCCCAAAATCTCCCCAAACCAGCCCAAAATCCTTAAAATCCCCCCAAATACCCCAAATTTCCCCAAATTCCCCAACATCTCCCAAAATCCCCCCGAAAATTCTCCAAAATCCCCAAAAAGTTCCCCAGAACCCTCCCAAAATCCCCCCCAAAAATCTTCCACAAAATTCCCCAAAACCCCCCAAAATCTCCCCAAAATCCCCCCAAATCTCTCCCAAAATTCCCCAAAATTCCCTAAAATCTCCCCCAAAATGCCCCCAAATAATTTGCGCATTATTCACAAAAATGTATTTATGTATTTTAAAAATGCATATTAATTTATTATAATTAATACATTAAATTGATCATTAATATTCAAACTACGTTAATATAAAATATATTAATACTAACATGCAACAATATTAAAATATATTAATAGCAATATCTATGAATATTAAAATAGGTGAATATTACATTAACGTTAAATATATGAATATTAAAATTATGATATTAAAATATATTAATATTAAAATATACGGATTAAAAAATAAATCTAAAATACATTTTTACAGAATAAATTCATTTCAAATCAACTTTCCCACCACCTCATTTACGTATAATTACAATACATTTAATTAGTTCCAGCGTAGAGAGTGCTGCTCGTACAGGGCTAATATTCCCCTATTAATTAATTAATTAATTAATTTATTTATTTATTAGCACGCATTAATTCCATGCCGTCCGCGTGTCCATCCCCCTGCCCATCACCAATTAACGCGCTGATTAATTAATGAAGGGGTTCATTATTGATTAATGAACGGATTAATTATCGATTAACGGATTATTGATGAATTAATGGATTCATTATTGATTAAGGGATTAATTATTGATTAATTCAGGGATTAATTGCGGGCGGCGCCGCTTTTCGGAGCATTACGGGAGGAGGGCGCCTCTACTGCGGTAATTACGGGAGCGGCAACGCCGTAATTACGGGAGGGGAGCGCCCCCAAAAATCCCCCAAAACTCCGAAAAATCCCCCCAAAATTCAAAAAAATCCCAAAAAATCCCCCCAAAATTCCAATAAAATTCAAAAAAATCCCTAAAACCACCGAAAAATCAAAAAAAAGTTCCAAAATATCCCAAAAAGCTTGAAGCAAAACCCAAAAATTTCTTAAAAATCAAGAAATCTTCCCAAAAAACACAAAGACCCCCAAAATTCCCAAAAAAACCCAAAAATCCCAAAAAAACCCAAGTCCCCCCCAAAAAAGACAAACCCCCAAAAATTCCAAAAAACAAAAAAACAAAAAAACGCCAAATCCCCGAGAAAATCCCAAACCCCCAAAATTCCCAAACAAACAAAAAAAATTCCCCAAAACCCCCAAACCTCAAAAAAACTCCACCAAAAAAACCCAAAAAACCCCAAATCTCGCAGAAAAAAAACAACCCTCCCAAACCACCAAAATTAAAAAAAAAAACCCCAAAAATCCCCCCAAAATTCCCAAAACCCCCCCAAAA